CCGCTACAAGGAGAAGTGGGTGAGTGCGGGGGCACAGGGAGGCCGCCTGCAGCCGCGCTGCCCGGCTTCCGCCAGGCCCGGTCCGCCGCCTAAAGGCGTCCCCCCGCCAACACGTGCCCCACGGGGGAGCTGGCTGAGGCTCTCTCACGCCTACTCTCCGCTGTCCCCCGCAGGCCACCACGCTGCCCCGCGTCCCCGCCACCCAGCTGGCGCTGCAGCTCTTCGACATGAACTACGGCATGCAGTTCGGGCCCCTGTGGCCCTCGGCGCGCGTCAGCCTGCTCTCGGAGCCGAAATACGGCGCCCTCGTCAACAACTTTTCCTGGGGCGGCGACGTCGTCCGCGACCTGCAGGGTCTGCGCGCCGCGGACTTCATTTACGCAGCGCAAAACGGCCCCGCGGGGGCCGAGGGGCCGGCACCCCTGAGCCCCAACATCCAGTGTTACACCTTCCCCAAAGGAGATATCTGCCGCTTTCCTCCCGCCAGGTGGGCACAGCGGCGCTCTCCCGGCGCGCCGACTCCCGTCGCAAAGAGGGGTTTCGTGCCGAACACGCGCGGTCGCTTCGGTTCCCTCTTCTTGAACGCGGAGGTTCGGTCCCCGCGTTCGAGGACTGTTTCAGAGGACAAGCCGAAGTCGCGCTTCCCCTCCCGGCCCCGGACCGGCCGCGACGCACGGCGGATTTGCTGGGCTGTGTTGGAAGCATGTTTTCGTGGTTGCTTTGACGGCTCAGCGGTTGGTTTTTGCGCAGCTCACTTTGGAGCTTGTGGGACGCGTTGTAGATACGTTATTAGTCTGGGGAGAGGGGAGTAAGAGGGCAGGATTTTAGTCTAGACTGGAGCGGGCTCTTTATAAGCGGACGGGCCCGGAGTCAGGGAAATGGTATTGAAGGAATCGTTCTTTGACTGGGAAATGAGCTCGATCGTTACCTGATGGGTGGAGTTAGAAAGGAGATGCTGGAGGTGCAGGCGGGGCATGAGAAGGGTTTACAAAATACTGAACGGCAAAGAGAAAGCAAATAGGGATTCATTATTTGCTGTCTCTTTCATAGTAGTTAGGGATCAGAAGGGACCTGAATAGATCACCTAGTCTGACCCCCTGCCACTGGTTGGAGCACACGCTGGGATCACATGACCCCAGACAGGTGTTCATCCAACCTCTTTTTGAATTTACCCAAGGTAGGAGCGAGGACCACTTCCCTGGGAAGTTGGTTCCAGATCCTAGCTACTCTGACAGTGAAATATTGCCTCCTAATCTCCAACCTGAACCTATTCTCCAGCAGCTTCTGGCCATTGTTCCTCATCACCCCAGGTGGTGCTGGGGAGAAAAGGGCTCTGCCTATTTGCTGTTGATCCCCCCTGATGAGTTTGTAGGCAGCCACCAAATCCCCCTCAGCTTCCGCTTGCCGAGGCTGAACAGGTTCAGGTCCTTCAGTCTCTCCTCATAGGGTGCCCTCTCACCAAGCAGGTGGCCCTCCTTTGCACCCTCTCCAGGCTGGCCACATCCTTCTTAAAGTGCAGTGCCCAGAACTGGACGCAGTACTCCAATTGAGGCCGGACCAATGTCGTGTAGAGGGGGAGGATCACCTCTCTGGACCGGCTTGAGATGCACGACAAGGTGCGGTTGGCGTTGCTCGCCAGACAGGACCGAGGCTTCACAAAATGAAACTAGTACAAAGTCTACAACAAAAACTCCCTGCTCTTTTCCACCCAGCGTGGAATACCGTTGTATTCCTCCAGACTGTGTCTTTTACCCGAAGTGTAGGACAGGTGTAATTAGTGTGGGCCGGGTGCCGTGAATGTGTGTTAGTATTAGCTGCTTTTAAATCTGCATGCTTTGCCTCAGCTTGGGTTTTTCCTTCCCCCTCACTCTCTCCCAATCTCTAGACCGGACACTGTGGGGATCCTTGGCTACTACCTGATGGATGCAGCATCGCTCTTGCCTGTCCTGGCTCTCAATGTGCAGCCTGGGCAGCTCGTCCTTGACCTGTGTGCAGCACCAGGTGGCAAGACCCTGGCTCTTTTACAAACCGGATGCTGCCGTACGTATCCCCTGGCTTTCCTTTTCTGTCTACAACTGGTGCTTTGGGGAACAACTAGGATTATCTCAGCTGTAGGATCATAGAAAATGAAGGCTGGAAGGGACCTCAGGAGGTCATATCTAGTCTAACCTCCTGCTCAGAGCTGGACCATCCCCAACTAGATTGTACCAGCCAAGGCTTTGTCTACCCAGGTCTTAAACCCCCTCCAAGGATGGAGACCCCACCACCTCTTCGGCTAACCTGTTCCAGTGCTTTACACCACCCTCCTAGTGAGCAAGTTTTTCCTGCTATCTAACCTCAGCTTCCCTTGCTGCAACTTGAGATGTTAATCTGATGATTCTCTCTAGCTCTCCTAGCTCTGAAGCGGTGGCTAAATGGAGGGCACACAGATGTATTGACACAAGCCTTCATCATGATGGGCCAAGCAGAAGGCCACTCTAGGAAAATACCCATTTGTTATTAATCTGGGGCAGGGATATTGATCTCATTTGACCTTGTGGGCTGAACCCCATATCGTAGACACCCTTCTCTTAGGGTTATGGAGCTGACTTTACATTTTCCTACATGTCTTTCAGTGTCTGTGTGATGTGCTGTTCCTTACCACAGGGCACCTGACAGCCAAAGACATCTCTGTTTCCCGAATTAAACGGCTGCATGGGATTCTCCACAGTTACCTCCCCAAGGCAGCTAGGGACAACGTGTCAGTCAGCGTGGAGGATGGAAGCAACTGGGAGCAAGTGGAGAGAGACGTGTTCGATAGGGTGAGTGACTGGAAACGCAGCCAAAATGCTGTAACTATCTGATTTAATTTTTTGCCTTTGGTAGAGGGGAAAATACAGGATGCTTCAGAGAGAGGCAGCCATTTATCCAGCCGTGCAGGCTTCTGCATGTCAGGGGAAGGGGGGTTTCTTTCTAACTGATCATGTACTGAAGGCGATGCCCTGAAGCCCGAGGTTTACTCTCTCTTCTTTTAGCCTGCGTCTGTGCTGCCAACTGCAGTCAGTTGTATAAGTGTGGTTTTGTTGCCAGTTTGTTTCGTTCATTGGGAGGCGGTTCCACTATGTGGGGACAATATGCTTTTTTAAAAGCATATCTACAACTACATGCGGAGCCTTTTGCTGGTACTCTGTGCTGTCAGTGTAATCTTGCCCTTAGAGATAAAGGGGAATGCATGAAGATGGAGATAAAGGGGAATGTATGAAGTTACCTCAAACTTGAAATTCTTTTCCATAGAGTTCCCAGCCACCACGAGCAACCCATCAGTAACAGTGCAGAGTGTGCGTGTACCTGCCCTCTAAGGCTGTGGCCAAGGACACTGCTTAAAGAGTGGAATAGCAGAGGAAATGTGTGGGGAGGGGGAAAGGAGAGGAAGTGGGGAAAGGACTGCAACTCGCCAAACTTTAATGGGGTGGAGAATTGATCTAAGTTCTCAGTTCTCGGTCATGCAGGTGCTTGTGGATGTTCCCTGCACAACGGACAGGCACTCGGTCATGGAGCATGACAACAACCTGTTCACCCGGGTGAGGAAGAAGGAGCGTCAGCAGTTGCCGATGCTGCAGATGCAGTTGTTGGTGTGAGTGACCCTCTGCGCAATTCGTGCGATCAGTCAGTGCTTCTGGTTTATGAAAGGGACCTCCGAGCTCAGCGGGACAAGGTGTTTCTTCGAATCCTAGACAATGAGGGCTGGAAGGGAGCTCAGGAGGTCACATCTAGTCCAACCCCCTGCTCTAATTGGACCAGCCCCACTAGCTCATCCCAGCCAAGGCTTTGTCAACCTGGGCCTTAAAAACTTCCAAGGATGGAGAGTCCACAGCCTCTCTGGGTAACCTGTTCCAGTGCTTCACTATCCTCCTCATGAGAGAGTTTTTCCTAATATCCAACCTCACCTTCCCTTGCTGCAGCTTGAGCCCATTTGCTCCTTGTCCTGTCATCTGCCCCCACTGAGACCAGCCCAGCTCCATCCTCTTTGCAGCCCCCCTGCAGGGAGTGGGAGCAGGAATATTATTACCTCCTTTTTTCAGATGAGGAACTGGGGCCTATATGAATTGTCCGGGCCACACCTGGAGCCCGTGACAAAGATAACAAAGCCAAAATTTGGATTCCCAACCTATGGTCTTACCCACATCATTGTCTTCCTCTGTACAGACTCTTGGCCTGTCCCATGTGCCTGGAGTACATTGGTGATGCAAGATCTAAACTAGACTAGTAGATTAAACCATCCTGCTCCAGTTTCTCATCTGGTGAAGCACTAGTAACACCGCAGTGCTAAATTCTCCTGCAGCTGCAGTGCTGGCAGGACCATCTAGCCTGCAGTCCTTCCTATTCATGTTGGCAGCCCTTGTTAGCTGCATGTTCATGCCCCGCGCACATGCAGTCGCAGGGAGGGCTCAGTCCTTTACATCCAGTCACCCTGTTCTTGCTCTCCTCATGTCTAGCGCTGGAATCCTTGCTGCCAAGCCAGGAGGGGAAGTCGTGTACTCCACGTGCACCCTCTCTCAGCTGCAGAACGAGTACATCGTCGAGAGCGCCATCAAAATGGCAGAAACCCAGTTCAGCATTGACGTCCACGTCGAAGACTTGAGCTGTTTCCGGAGACTCTTCCAGGACACGTTTTCTTTCTATGCTGAATGCAGGGTTGGGGAGCTTGTCCTTCCTCACCTCACGGCCAACTTTGGGCCCACGTACTTCTGCAAATTACGCCGGGCCCAGTGAGCATGACAGCTCCTCCCAGGGGGAGTTAAGATCGGGGCATTGGTTTACCTAGTGACATCTGAGTAGAGATGATCTTGCTCTTTTACAGGCACTAATGCAATACCTAAAGTTTCCAAGGAAAGAGGAACTGCTGCGTAACCCCCTGAAGGAAGTCGGCCACTCGGCCCCAATCACTGAGACTAAATGATGCAGATGTAGTCTTTGAGAAATGTATTGTGCCTCTTTCTGGGCACTGGACTCTGGTATCTCGCTACGGTTTGTAACTCCTTCTCTTTCCTCAACCTGCTGCTGGTTTAAAAAGCAGCTATGACTGAAGAAAGAGAGTGGGACTTGTGTTTTTGACTAGGAAACCAGTAGTTTGGTCTCTCCAAATGCTCTGAATTCATCGATTTCATAGACATTAGGGCCGGAAGGGACCTCGCAAGATCATCGGGTCCAGCCGCCTACCCATTCAGATGCTTCAGAGGATTTGCTGAGTGCTAACAATGCTCAACTCTCAGCAGGCACGGCTTAGCCAGAAATCCCCAAGGGTCTCACAGACCAGGGCTACATCCTCAGCCCTGTTTTTACAGGGAGGAAACCTGGGTCACAGAGCACACACAAGTGACATGCCTCGGCTCACACAGCAGGTCACCGGAGGAGCTGGGGATAGAACCAAGGTCTCCTGAGTCCCAGCTCAGTGCCCTGCCAGCTGCTCCTTCAGGAGAGCTGCCTTTCAAATACAGGGTTTCAAAGCAGCTTATTGCTGTCATTGTCTCTCTTCTCACTAAGGAACCTGGTTCTCCAGCTGTTCAGAGGATGATCTGAGCTTGGATGAAAGCATTTCCTGTCTCTCTGCTTTCATTTTGGATGTAACCTTGCACATGTGAACAAACACCTCCCCACATCCATCTTTCTGGGCTTGGCTCATGCTCAAGCCTTTAACCAGTGTTTAGAGGAATTGGGCTGCATCCTTTATCTCATGCAGGTGGTCTTTTAGACAGACTGATCTCTAGATTTTGGTGCAAAGAGTTTGTGCTGGTGTGTGCTAGGGGAATGGATTATTTTTGCTCGCTTGGTTTTTGCCGGGACTATTCCAGATGGGTTAGTGGCTGAGCTCCATTGATTCGTTCACTTTTACTCCACACGTCCAACACGGACAGTCGCAACAGAGATGTGTGTGAAGGTGTTGGAACAATTTGAATGCTCCCGTGAAGGCAAAGAAAGGCGGGTGTGCTTTGTAATTCTTTTATTGACCATTGAGGAACCCAGCTGGCTTTCTTGCAGTCACAGACCCCAAGAAGTCACACACATTTCTTCCTCTCACAGGCCAGCGTCTCCACCTCCTTCATGAAGCGGAGGCACAGCTCCTCTTGCCACGGCAGGGCCACGCACTGCACGGCCACGGGCAGCCCCACGGCTCCTTCCACGGCCTGCAGTGGAGACAGGAGCAGTGTGATGTTATCCAGGGGCACCTCCCATCTAATAAGTTCTTCAGCTGCAGGAGTGGACCCTCGTGTGTCCTCAGCCCCCACCCCACATCCCGCTTGCTGGCTGACCTTTCTCAGCCTCCTGTCCCATGCATCATTGTAGTGCCCTCTGTGATGTAGCAGCTCTTCTTCATCAGTCTCCGTAACTGTGGTCACTGGCACAACCCCAGCGGGGAAGTCTAAGGTGTTGTACAACATGGTGGAGGAGACGGCCGCTGGGAGGAGCAGTGTGCAGAAGATCAGTCACAGGGAGGCCAGCAAGGCAGTGCAGGGGTTTGGACCCCAACAGTGCACAAAGGCTGCTGAGTACGTCCCCTTCAAACACATGCCATGTGTCACCCTAGCGGGAAACCTGCCATAGCTCAATCCCTCCCCAAGCAGGTCACGGACGGTCACTATGGACCCTGCTAGCACAGCACGCATGCAACATGATGGTGTCAGCAAAAAGTGCCTTCAGCCATATGGGTAGAGAGCATGCTCGTGTCCTGCAGACTGGATGGGAATTCATGGGTGCTAATCCCACCTCTGACACTGACTCCCTCAAAGGCCCTGGGCAAAGCATTTAACTTTTGTGCCTAGGTTTCTTCCTGTGTCAAATGAAGCATTATATCTGCCTAATACCACTGAAGTGCGCAGGAGAGCGTCTTTTTCCAGTGAATGTTCAACTTATCTGCTGTGCTGCACAAAGCAGCCTGGTGTCAGCGCCGGGTGAAACAGCTACGTTATTAAAAAGCATAGGGTGGTGTCTGTAGGTCTCGCCCACATCTAGTCTCTGCCCCAAGGACCTTACAGGGGCAGAGGGATGAGGTTGCGAGGGCACCTGATGCCAAGTAGTACGTCCAGGTTCATACACAGGGTTAATAGCTGAACCCGGACCAGGCCTCTGGCTTCCTACCCCCTTGCCTGGGGTCCTACCCACTAGACCTGGAGGTGGTCATCGCACTGGCGGCCAACAACCCTCTTTGGCAGGATGACTCCCACAGCCTCCCATATCCTAGAAACACCCTTTGCCACCTTACCCAGGAGCTTCCCTGGATAGCCAAGGGTGAAGGCTGGCCCCAGGACCGGACACAGCACCACGTCCAGCTGGAGTTTCTTCCATTTGGCAATGAACTCTGTGCGGTAGGCCTGGGGGGAGAGTGCGGGAAGGGAGCCATAAAATACCTGGAGCTGCCCAGCTGTGGTATGGGGGTGATACTACGGCATAGGGCCGTTTGGAACGCAGCAGGGAGATATGCCCGCCCTACAGAGCCCCGGGGATGGGACCGAACCACACTGACAACCGCGACGTGCTGAGCAATGTGTCCCCGGCTGAGGCTGGGAGCAGCTCAGTGCATAGAGAAGCTCAGCAGCCTTAAGCCCAGGTGTCTTCAGCCCCTTCCCGGGTATGGGAGAATTAACTTGGGGGTCAGCGCCCAGAGACAGTGTGACTGAGTCCAGGGCAGCTCAGAGGCTCCAGATGCCAAAGGCCAATAAAACAGAGCCCAACACTTCTACAGTAGAACAAATCAGGATTTCTAGGGTCTGACTCGTGCTTTTGGGGCCTCCGGGGCTGGCCACGGCGAGTGCCGGTGCATCCCGACCGCGCTTCGTTGGCAGGGCTTGCGCTTTGTGTTCTGCGCGTGCGGAGCCTCGTATTTACCAGTACACAGGCTTGGTGCTGCCACATCGCCTTGGCTGACCTGGAATTCGAAGCAAAGGGATATAGATGAGGTTCAAGCAGCTGGAGGTGGGAGCAGCGCTGTCCGTTTGGGATCAGAGAATCATTGACCGGCAGGGCCCTGGGGTTCACATCTGCTCCAGGCAGGATCAGACCTGTCTAGACCGGTGCGGACCAACCTTTTTGGCTGGTGTGCCGTGAATTAGCCCCATACGCTCCCCAAGAGCCACTTTGATTCCCCTTTCCCCTGCCCCATCTGCTGCTCTGGCTTCTGCTGTCTGCCCTATCTGCTGCTGTGCTGTCTGCTCCCTCCCCGGTCTGCCCCTGGTCTCAAACCGTCCCAGCCAAGCATCCATCTTCCCTTGCTCTTAAACACTTTGTTAGCAACCCTCTCGTAGAAACCCTGGGCATAGCGCCCGAAACATCAAAAACGCCCTTGAACTGCTCACAGGTGACGCAGGGGCACTGCCCATGTGCTGCCACTGCGTGCTGGTAAGCACATCCTTGTAATTCAGTGGTGGCAATTTAATCTTCAAATTCCTGTCAATTGTTTGCGTCTGAATGGCCCAAACATGCAAATGAGACAGTCTCTAAGAGAGCCAGAGAGAGAAAGGACCATCCGGGGCGGAGGTACGAGGTTAAGATTTAGGGAATCTGGGTTAATCAGACTGCTAGAGCCACGGGGCTGGAAGGGACCCCCAGAGGTCACATCTAGTCCAACCCCCTGCCTGAGCCAGGATCAGCCCTGTGCAAACCAGCTCAGCTTTGTAAAACTACAGTCAACTGATGCAATGCAAGCCATTACACCCCACCCTGCCACAGGGAAAGCAGAGGGATCACGGCAGTCCATGAGCTGCTGCTTCAAATGTTAATATACATTCAAGCAATCCCATAGAGGCCATGCCCCCTCTACAGAGAAAGGCAGCCCTGCTCCCCCAGTCTGTGCCAGTCTGATCATGGCATAAAACTCCTTCCTGACCCCAAAATGTGTCGGTTTGATCCTGAGCAGAGGGGCAAGACCCTCTAGCCAGAAACCTCCAGCTTGAAGTCGCAGCAGGAGCTGCGCCTCAGACCTCCGTGTCAAGCACTCCTGCTCGCTGTCTCTCATGATGCTCAAAGCACAGACCAGTTCCCGGCCTTGGAGGGACATGCTGGGTCCACATCTGCTGCTCATATACTACATCCCAAGGCCTCAGTGGATACCGTTCTTTACCTTCATCATCTTCACTTGGAATGAAGACCTCAGGGCCCTTACTGGACTACCATGTCCGCGGGCTTGAAGGAGGAATTGCTTTGAGGACCTCCCAGCTGTCCCCAGTGTTGGTGAGGTGGAGTGTGAGGTGGGCCAGGTGAAGGGGCTCAAGGGCTTCGTAGCTGCCTGGGCATTCATTTGGATCAGTCTGAGCCTGGCCTTGACTTTCTGTTGCTCACGTGCAACCCAAGGATAAATCTATTGATTCGTCATCCCTCTCCAGCCTTGGGGGAGCAGCACATGCTATAATCCACGTTGATTTACCCACGGCAACACAAAATGGAACAAAAACCTGGAGCTAACAGGGCAGCACCCCAGAGCGGCTTGATCTACGGATACTAGAAACCCGGCTGAGCGGCACCAGTGGAGGGTCAGGCTCCATCTCAGTCCAGAAAGGGCTTTCCTCTCCTTTGCACTAAGGCCCTGGCTGCAGACCTGCCCTTTCCCTAGTCCTGTATATGCGACATGCTCTTACCTGACTCCACACAGCGCATCCAGATGCCAGGCCAGGCGTGGGAACTGAAAGGGGGCAAACGAGTTTCCATTAGGACCCGTCTGTGCGGCAACCCATTCTCCCCAAGGTTTGGACCAGTGAACCTTAAACGTGGTCACTTGGTTTAGGGCAGTGAACTTACACTGCTGGCACTTCAAAGACACGGCTAACCTAGCTCTACTGGATATAAGCCCTGATGCAAACCCAGCGAGTCGTGGGTTCGGTGGGCTTCGGGTCCATCCTCAGCTCCTTTTAGTCTGGAAGATCCCCAAGCTGTTTACTAACAAAACACACTTCTGGGGTGGAAGATGGCATCCAGAAATGCACAGTAGGGCGTGCTGAAGGGGTTCACCCAGGCCAGGGGATACCCGCGTTGCTCCTACAAAAAGGTCCCGTGTGCGTGCACTGTGTTGGTGCTGCACACGTGAGGATGGGCTCGCCTCCACCATGCCTCGTGCAAGTAGGCCAGTGTTTCCCTGTCTTACAGGCCTAGAAGATACGTGGTTGGGCTCACAGGGACAATGCTACTTGGGGCCAAGGGTCAAGGAGTAAGTCACTGGGGCAGATTTGCAGCTGCGGTGTTTGAAGGCCAGAAGGCACGGCTAGGCCACGGGGCCTGACCTCTGGCATAAACACCGCCGGGGTCCTCCTGTATTAAACTCAGCAGGTTGGCTCAACCACACCTTCACAAAAGCCTCCAGTCTTGAGGGCTTGAAAGGAGGAGCATCCACCACTTGCTAGCTTAGTTCATCTTCACTTCCCATCAATATTCGAGCCAGGTGGGAAGTACTTCTAGCACCTGCCTTCTCTCCGTACTCTCTAAACCTGGTCACCTCTGAAGTCACCTGCTTTCTCGTTAACACAAGAAGCTCCTCAAGCCTCTGGGTTTTTTCAGGCCTCAGATAGTCTTTGCTACAGCCCCCCTTGAGTCGGCCAGTGAAAGCTGGAGACAAATGTATATGGGAAAGTGGGATGGAGAGACGCCGGGCAGTGTATTCCTTGGTGTCACCATTGCTTGTGTCCAGCCTCCCATCAAAGCCTCTCTTGGGCTTACCACCGAGGTGCAAACCCATCCGAAGGTCCGGGAGCTGCAACACCACCCGCCCGCCCGCCTGCCCGCCGCGAATACAAGAGGGACTGACCAGAGGCCTAACCAACAGCGCCAGTATTTTCTTCACCAAACTTGGAATCCGATAGCAATTCACCTGGGGCTTCAAGCCTGGGTCCACAAGGTCTTGTGCACTGGAAAAGAGGGGATGGAGGGGAGACAACATTTGTTTTGCACCCAGTCGCTCACTATTTTTTGCTATCTTAGTGGCTGGAAGCAAACTCTCCCGGCAATGAACTCTGGCCGTCATTTTACAGCAACAGAGAGGGCTGCGGGACACTGCGGGACGCCCGGGCCTGACTCTACTCTAGTTCACATGGTGCTAAGCCGGGAGCGATGCCAATGTAACGGGTGAGAGGAGAATCCAATACAGAGGGTGTGATTTGCCAGCACAAATCCATTGTCTTGGGGGCGCTCCGTTGGGTTTGGGCAGCAGTGAACACGAGCAGGATTCGGCCTTCTGTTCAAATCCTCGTAGGCACTGAGGGAGGAAGAAATCCAGCCCCAACCCTCTTGATTTCAGTCATAGCCTGGCAGCTTCAGGATCGGCATCTGCCTGCTGTCGGGTGCCCACCTCTAAGGGGGTTGCTGGAGGGTCTCTGGAGCAGGGCACGCTGCGAGGAGCTCACCGGAGCAGTGTGCAACGGGGTGTAAGTAAAGCACACGTGGCTTCTCCACCCTCTGCGCAGCTTGGCTGCCCCTCATGAGCCGTCCTGTGGCTGCTGGGAGCCGATATGGGACAGCTTTGGCAAGGACAGAGAGGCAGGGAGCATTTCTTGCTCCGTCTGCTATCACTTGTAAGGTTCCTGCATGCACCAGATTTAGCCAGGCCTTTTTTCTGATGCTGGCCACACCATATCACGGGCAATGCTCCGCTGCCTGTTTTGCCCATCTCCCCATCTCCACTGCAGTTACTATTTAAGCCAAGGGAGGAACTCCTCTAGTGCCGCTGGCTTCTGGCCTAGAGGCAGCACATCAACCTCCAGCCATTGCACGTCCCAACTGAAAGCTGAGCGAGGCTATTTTCTAGCCCAGCGGGATGCCGCCTTGCTGCCCCATAGCAGCATCCTTCATCAGCTGCCCTGCCCGTTACCCCCAGCGCTGCCGGCGTGGAGATCCAGGCCGGGGCGTTCGTACTCACAACAGGTCCGTGAGCGTGGAGCCCCCATCGGCGAACGCGCCTCTCATGAAGAGTTCGTTGACCACGTAGTCGACTCGCGGGGGAGCGAAGGGCACTAGCTGCACCGAAGCAGAAGGTGAGTCCGTAGGCAAGCAGGACAGCATCAGGGCTCAGGAACCGCTGCGGATGGAGTGCCTGCTACTGGGGTGGGAGCGGACTCACTGGTGCAACTGGGTGCTACTGGGGCCACTCAGACTAAGCAAATGAGCATGTGGCTCCATGAGGCTCCTAGCGTACGGGACCCGAACTCAGCGCCTTGTGGGGGTCAGGTTTTCATTGCATAGAAACAAATCCTAGCACCAATCCAGCCCTTTAGGGCTACACAGCTTGGCCCTTAGATCCTCTGGAGGGGACTTGATTAACTTGCACGGCCACCTCGGCCCCAGGACCCCGGCTCCCTTGTGCTGGATGGACTTGGAGCTCCCCATGTGACGAGCCCAAGAGCTTGCTCGCACACCCGGGGGACCCAGCCTGCTAAGCCTGTGACGTGGTTAGGTCCTTCCTCCCACCCCCACTTCCAATTCCCCTCTGCCAGCCTTTGCTGGGGTGTTCCTTGCACTGTAAAGACGATGCAGCCTTGCAGGACGGCAGCTGTGGGTGACAGGAGAGACGGAGCCTCGGAGCAAGAGGTGGGGACAGCGGGGCTCACCGTGTGCCCGGCTTCCTGGAGAAGCTCCCTGGTCTCCCGCACGGCCCGTCTCATGCAAGGGGGGAGCAGGAAGTAGCTGTCGGTCTCGTAGTACCCGATCCGAAGTGGGGTGGAAGCGCAGAAGAGCTTGGAGCGAAGGGGATTGATGGTTAAGGTGGATGAAGCCACGACTGTAGTCCAGCCCTTCCCCAGGCCTGGATCAACTCCCAAGCATCTGGACAATCGGTGTTCCTGGCCCCCAAAGTGGTGTCAGACACCGCCTGCGCCCCAGGACTCGGGAGATGTTAGGAAGGGGGTTGGTTCAGCCCCCTGTTTGGGTCGGCGGCCACTGCAAGCCTGACGGCACTTGCTACGGTTACGGCAAGGTTGGCCATCCTGGAGCACGCGTGCTACAAGTGGCACCGGCACGGGCAGCCTCTGTGCGTGGCACGTGGCAGATCGGGGAGGGAACAGGGAATACAGTGACAGATAGGGCAAGGAGCAGTAAGCAGAGCAGGAGATCAAATGGAGCACGGGAGGGAGCAGGAAGCAGAGCAAAAGATCGAATGGGAAGTGCAGGGTAGGGGGCAGAAAGCAAAGCAGCAGATCAGCTAGGGAGCAGAAAGTACAGCGGCAGGCTGAATAGGGAACACAGGGCAAGGAGCAGAAATCAGAGCAGCAGATCAAATGGGGAGCACAGGGTAGGGAGCATAGAGCAGAGCAGCAGATCAGGCAGGGAGCACAGGGTAGGGCACGTGCAGTGGAGCAGCAGACCCAACAGGGAGTGCACTGCAGGAAGCTGAATGCAGAACAGCAGATCAAATAGGGAGCAGAAATCAGAGCAGCACATCAAATGGGGAGCACAGGGCCGGGAGCAGAGCAGCAGATCAAACAGGGAGTGCAGGGTAGAGAGCATGCAGCAGAGCAGCAGATCAAACGGTGCACGGGAACAGAAAGCAGAGCAGGCAAGGAACACAGGCCAAGGAGCAGAAAGCAGAGCAGCAGATCAACCCCCCTTCCCTCTCCTCCAGCCTCTCCCCACCTGGGCCACTAACCATCCCCACATGGGAAACAGCCCCCTTTAGCCCCCCCGGAGCCTGGTTTCAACACCTGGGCACGGATCGGTGGCTGGGTGTTGCCCCCCACCCCACTCCCCGCTCTCTAGAGGAGGCTGCTTTCTGCAGAGACCCCCAGCTCGGCTCCCGGGCTCCCGACGCGCAGGACCGAGCTATAAAGCTCGGCCCCTCTTGCTGCTCCCTTCTGCCGCCATCCCCTGCATCTCGCCGGGAGGCTCTGCCGGCCCCGGTCAGCCCGGGAAGCCTCCTGATACCGGGGCCAGGCCTGGAGTTTCTCCCCACATTGCCAGGGCCACAGTCCCATTTACCAGGGTGCAGCAGCAAAGGTTTTTCCAGCCAGGAAGGGAGGCTAAACCAGGCCACGTGGGCAAACGCTGCTGGAAATTATCCTGCAGCCGCTGATGTCCGAAAGTGGCTTTTTTGGCTTTCTGTCTGCACTCGTGGCAGCTTCCCCTCCCCGCAGGGACGTACCGCATCTCTCTTGCACCACCTCCTAGCTGGAGAGGGCTTGTCCCGTACTACCAGGGCCCCTTTGGATGCACGGCACAGCGAGCTGCGATCTCGCTGGCGTGAGACGCTAGCCTGGTGTCCGTCCGCTCGCGGTAGCCATCTCAACGTCACCGGGCCGGCTCGCTCCTGGGCGCCTTACCTTCTCATTGAAGGGGATGGGCGGCACGGTGGGGTCCAGCTGGAACAGGTCTTCCCCCAGCAGCGCCCTCATGCACAGAGCCAGGCCGTCCACGTCCCGCGCCATGGGCCCGATCGTTCCCGTCACTGCAAGGAGAGAAGGACGCACGTAGCACTTAAACGAAGGGGGCTGGAGGCCAGCCAGGAAGGAAAGGAAAAGGACCGGGCTGATGAGCGAGCGGCTGGACCCAGCCCCACTTTGGGCAATTCTGGAGCCACCCCTATCCTCCTCCCCGGTTTTAAAGGAAAAAGTACTGAGCAGGGACGTACCTGATAGAAGCCCCGGGACTGGGGCCGTCACTCCGGAGAGGCTGCAGAAGAGGGGCACAAAGCAGGAAGGGGGTGTATAGGGAGCCAGGCTCCTTCATTATTTTGTAGGGCATTGCTTTTGTTGTGATCACCCCCCAGGACCCCGCACGGCACCGGCCGTGGAGCCCCCGTTACCGTCTCCAGCTTGCGGCTCTAGGAGGAGGCTACAGGTTGCAGCGGGGTGAGGGGCTACAGCGTCTAAGCCGGCAGGTTTTGCAGAGATGGATGGACTGGACCAACTCTTCCCCGCATCTTTTCAATGAGACGTTGGAGGATAAGGGGGCGAAGTGGACAGCAAGGACTTTGGAGGGCTCCCACCAGCTTGGTGGGAAATCGATGGATTTGCAATTGGTTTCTGAGGGTCGTGAGACCCGGACACCTCGCAGCTGGAGCGGAGGATGCAGGCGCCAAGAGCGATGGTCCCGAGGACATCGCTGACTATTGCACGCCCCGTGTGGAAGCAGTGAATGTGAAGCTGCCTGGCCCCGGTGACCCATCCAAGGTCACCTGCAGCCTGCCGGGACCAGCGCTCGGCACCTACCTGAGCCTCTTGCCCGTGGGTTTGAGGCCGCAGAGGCCGCAGAAGCTGGACGGCAGGCGGATGCTCCCTCCTAGGTCGGACCCAAAGCCCAGGATGGACCCCCCTGCGGCGATCAGCGCTCCCTCCCCTCCGGAGGAGCCCCCGGGGCTCTTGCGATGGTCCCAGGGATTCAGCGTCTGGCCGAAGATTGCATTGCTGCAGTCGTAGCTGGGAGAGAGGAGCCGGAGTCAGCCTGATGCTGGAAAGGCCCCGGCTTCTCCCCGTGTCCCCTAACCCCGAGGAACCTGCCATTTCCCTGGGGGCACAGCCCCTCACCCCCAAATATGCTGACATCCCTGTGAGACCCACACCCCTGTTGGGGCGCTGAAGCAGAAAGAGACATGGAAGAGGCCCAGGAAACGGTGGCGGAGCAGGGAATGCAACCCAGGCCTGTCCCCCACCACTGAAAATACTTAACACTGCTGTGCCCTACGTGCACTGAGATGGCAGCGCGTTTGTCCCCGGGGCCTCTGCAGAGACCCAAAGAGGAGACACACACGCAGTGCTCTCTCCTCTCCCTCTTTCTCACCTGTCTTGCCATTTCCCTTCATTTCAAACAAAGCCCAGCGTCAACTGAACGGAGAAGGAGGATATCAATCATTGCTGGGTATAGAAACAATCGTCAGCTCATGGAAGAGCGAATCATTCAGGAAACAAGCTCATGGAGCAGGAGGCAGAGTCAATCATTGAACTCCCATGATAGCGGATTTACCCAAATCCTATGTCCTTAGACCAACGCGGCTACAACCAACACCCCTGAAACAGGATTCCTCCGGGCACAGGACTTTGAGTTGCAGGGCATGGGGAAGGGAGAACATGCAACGACGTATTACTTGAACAGGGACTGCGGGACGTTGGTTATCGCGAAGGGAATGGCCCCCTGACGCTTTAAGACCTGGACTAACACACTGTCCTCCTGCTCCGGTGGGCCGAGGAACGGGGCGAAACCGCAGGTGGAGAGGTGACCCTTTGGGGAGGAGAAACGACACTCGTTAGGGTTGCTGCACCTCCCGCCAGCTGCAGACCGGGGCTTCCTCTCATCATGGGGGGGGATAGAAACCCAGGACCAAGAGCCCCCGGGAGAGATTGCGGGGCTGTTGTCCTGCTGAAGCCCCTCCACGCTCCTCCGCTTTGGGCCTATCCCCCGCATGGGGGTAAGCAAGGGGTGGGCAGTGCTCCAGCTGGCTCCACGCCTGGCTCCGTTGCCCGCACAGCGAGCTGCTTCCCCGGGGCAAAGGACGCACCTTGTAGCTCATGTGGTCCTTGATGCTGACGGGGACGCCGTGCAACAAGCCCTTCTCCTTCTGCCCCTGCAGGTCCTGCAGCTGCTCCTCGCACTCGGGGATGAGGTGGCGCACGCAGTTCAGCTCCCGGGTCGCCGCCAAGGCCTTCCCGGGGACGCGGGGGAGAAGCGTTCCTTCGTGAGAGCCGGAGCAGAGGCCCAGCAGACGTGTGCACTGCACGCGCACACACATGCGTGCACGTATGCAAGCACCATGGGCAGGTGCACTGTGTCCACACACACGCATGCAGACACACGTGCACCAGATGTGCGCACAAACCCCACACACCATGCACACACGCACTATACACACATGCACACACGTGTGCACCAGACGTGCATACAAACCACACACACATGCAGTATACACACGTGCACACACACATGCACCAGATGCACATACAAATTGCACGCACACATGCACACACGTCACCAGATGTGCACACAAACCTCACACACCATGCACACGCGCACTATATACACGCGCACACAGGTGCACCAGATGCCCACACAAACCACACATGCACTATACACACATTCACACGCATGTGAGCACTGCACGCACCCATATGCATCATGCACACATGCACCATGCATACACGTGCACCACACACACATGCCCCCCACACACACATGCACCACATACACATGCACACAAATCACACACACCATGTGCACATGCACACATGCACTATGCACACACATGCACTCACAGGCATACCACATGCACACACACAACACACACGCGCATGCACACACACATACACACTATATGAACTTGCAAACATACCACCCACAGAGCACACTCCCTTTACACACACATGTATTCACACATCGTGCACACAACCATGTACATGTGCACACACACGCACATGCAAAACACAGGCACACACAGAGTCAAACACAGTAACTGCCCATAAAACCTCACAGTGTAGCTAGAACAAGCAAGCCAAGGGGGTGGGGAATGGGAAGGTTTAGTATCCCCATTTCACAGAAGGAAGAACTGAGGCAGAAAAGGCTGACAGTGGCTTGCCCAGCACATGGAGTGAAACACGTGTCCCCTGGGTCCCTGCACAGAGCCTGGGCGTGAGCCCTGGCTTCCTGCTGGCTGATACCGCACCAATGCATTTGCAGCCATTCAGACCCACTTCGGATCTGCTCTTTAGCTCGGCCGGCTTGCCTTTTCCCTTGGTGGGATGAACCCCCCCCCCCAACCCCTCTGCCTGCCCACCCCCGGGCACCCGCCCCTTCCGACAGGCCCGAGGCAACAACAGCTGCAGCTCTTTGGGGATCGCTTCTCCGGTATTCATGTGGAGGGGAGCAGCAAGAAACCAGGAGCCTGGGTTTAGGGAAGGAGAAACATCAGGTGTCTCCCTGAGCCTCCAGGTCCTTGCTGCTGTCCCTGACCTCTGTAAGGGGACGGCAGTGGGACACGGTGGCTAGCAGGTTGTCCTGGAGCCTCGGGCAGTCACATCCATGCTCTGTGCCTCAGTTTCCCCTTCCACCCTCAGTCATTTCAGGTAGTACTTGGGGAGAGACTGGATCTCAGTAGGTGCACGATGGTGCCTAACTCCCTGAGGCTTCAACACATGCACACATGCGCACACCACCTCGAACAACAGGCGTCACAACCAGCTCCACCTCGATTCCTGTTCCACCAAAAATCCTTTTTCAGTAATCCCTCTTTACCAGTCCCAGAAGCTTAATCCACAAGCAATCGAATAGCAGTGGCGTGGGTTTATATGGTGCCCTTCACCCCCGGGATCTCCCCGTGACCAAGGAGCCCATCACCCTGGCATCTGAGCACTTTGGAAATGCCGAACTTGTGCAAGGCCCCCAGGAAGGCTGAGACGGGGAAGCGAGAATTTAAGCATTTCGCATCTAATGTTTTCTTACGGCGGCAGCTCACCTTGTCCACGTAGGTGTAGAGGACGCTCTCCGCGGACAGGGAACCCTCCTTCAGCTTCTCAGCCAGCTCCACCAGCGGCAGGGAGAGGATGCGACTGGGATCGGCCCCTGGGTTCTGCACGCATGACGAGGGTCACATACAGGTGCCCCGCCACCCCAAACGCCCCGTCTCGCCCCAGAGCAGCAGGTCCAGGCTGCCAGCATACAAGCTACGAAGTCTACAAACCTGGTGGCCAGCGGCAGCTTGGCCCTAAGCAGCTCACAGCCCCGTTCCTGCAACCTCGACCCTTGAAAGCTGCCATCTCCACGCACGTTTCCAAGTACCTGCAATCCCGCTCCCTATGGGGAAACGTTACCTGCTGCTTGAACCGCTGAACGGCCTTCTCCATGCGCTGCAGGCCTAGGTCCCGCATCCTCCTGGCCTCTTCCATCTTCTCCTGGATCCGTCTCCTCTGCATCCAGTTCAGCGCTGCGACAGCTGCTGCCGAGGCACAGAGCAGGGCGGAGACGGTGCGAGGATCGACCTCCAGCTCGGGCAGCAGCTGCGTGAGCATCTCCTGGATCATGGTGAGACCCACTCAGCTGCAGGGCAGCTGCGAGAGCTCACGAGACACGGCACTGAGAGGAAGACGGAGGCTGGGTTGTTTCACTCCACCCCTCGCCACCAGCTCGGAGCAGCTGGGAATGAAGCCGGCTTGCCCATTTCTCAGGTCTTGGATGATGCCCTGCAAGAGGCAGGACTCTTTTTTTGCCCATCTGCGAGAAACTCGAAGATGGTCCAAAGGTTGCAGGTTGACCTGTGTGTGGTGGGGAAATGATTGACTGGGAAATGGAGCCAAAACCCTCCCCTGGGCCAAGTTCAAGGACCCTGAGGGCTGAGAAGGAGGTGTCGAGGCTTTGGCACCAGGGCACCAGGGTCTCTCTCTGGCAGCAATGGCTGAGCTCTTCCCCACACATGTGCATGCAGAGTCCCATGGGAGAAGGGGCCCGTGACATTATGGCATGTTGGCATTACCCAGAAAGGTGATGGAGTCTCCATCCTTGGAGGTGTTGAAGACCCAGGTGGACAAAGCCATGTCTGGGATGATGTAGTTGGGGCCGGTCCTGCTTGGAGCAGGGGGTTGGACTGGATGTGACCTCCTGAGCTCCCTTCAACCCTCATTTTCTGTGATTGTGTGATTCTACCTTAGGAGGGGAAATTCCCACAGTTGTCGGAGGGAGGCAGCGCCCCAAAGACTCATTTCCACTGGGGTGGATCCTACCAGAGATAACTGCAGACACACATCAATGAGAGGGCACTGGTGTAACCTCACGCTGGGCTGAACAGTGACCCAGCTGAACCCAAACCTCTCCTTAGGCCGGATGACTTGGTAGCCTCTATAGACATTGCATCCGTCTCCATCTGTCTATCACCCTCCTCATCACGATATGCACGGTAGGTGGACACCTCACCCCGGCAGCTAACAAGCAGATGTAGCCACGCACCCCCACTGAACTGCAGACACACTTGCTTCTTTTAAAAGGAGCATGCAAGCTGTTCCTGGTCCTTAGGAAACCCTGTTAGGGTCTTCTACTCTGCAAAAATACGGTGCCTTCCAAGTATTTTTTGCTAATCCTGGAACAAGGGGTGGATGGACCTCCAGCCTCTTTTTCTTCTCCAAATTTAAGGTGAGATGTAAAATTACAACACCTGGAGGAGGCATCACAGAAGAACAGGAGTGCAGGGAGGCTTTTAACCCGTGATCTTCTGCACATTGCTTGGTAGTAGAGGATAGAAGAATCGCTCTTGCGTGGATCTGGGAATGCGTGTTGCTAGTTTATTTTTTCTACAATGTCGGTGTCTTTTGGCTGCCACCAAGATCAGGGGCCCGCGGTGCTGGGTGCTGCACTAATGTAGACACCCGCACACAGTGGTCAATGGTGTAGTTGTAGCCATACCCAGTGCTGGCGTGTATCTACCCAGCTTGGCTACCTAAAATAGCAAGGCCAGGCAACACAAGCATTACCATGGGCCGAGGTCAGCACCCAGGGACCCAAATACATCCCATCCCTTCATGGAAAGTGGTACTTGGATATGCGAATACCAACTGTGGTGTGAATGCCTAGCGCCCGTGCTGTTTTTGCTGGTGTTCCTCTAGGGTTATTTGGCTTGGTGGCTCCTGGCTACACATTGACTCACCTACTCACAGTCTGCCCTTTAGACTTTCGGAAAAAAAATTAACAGAGACCAGCCTCACCGCGGTGGAACAGACTCAGCAATGCAAGCAAGGTTTTATTGAAACACAGCCCGGCTCCCCTTAGGCAAGCATCCTCTGAGCAGTCACACATGCTTCCTCTTCCTCCCACGGGCCAGCGTCTCCACCTCCTTCATGAAGCGGAGGCACAGCTCCTCCTGCCACGGCAGGGCCACGCACTGCACAACCACGGGCAGCCCCACGGCTCCTTCCACGGCCTGCAGCGGAGACAGGAGCAACATCATGTTACCCAGATGCCCCAGCTTCTGAGGGCTGCACATGATTCCATACACCAGTTAGGTCCTACTGGGCGTGTCTACACATGCATTTACTTTGCATTAAATTTACTGTGCAGTAAGTTACACAGTAAGCAGGTTTACGCTGGCATCTACACGTGCAGGCATTAAAGCGCAGTAATACTTACTAACTAAAGTTAGTCCCAAGTTAGTCCACACACACAGTGTCACTGTGCAGTCAGGTGTCTACACGTGCATTACTGCGCAGTAACTAATTGGCCTACATTTGAGACCTGCATGATGCAGGTATGACATTTATGCCCAAGTCGGCGTAAGTTGCCATATTTACTGTGCAGTACGGGCGTGCATGTGCAGACGCTGCTCATACTGCACAGTCATTTTTGGTTATTGTGCAGTAATTTGGGTTACTGCACAGTAAATTTGCACATGTAGATGCACCCACTGAAGCCTTCAGAACAGGTCACCCCAATGCCTGCCCTGAAAGCGCAGGAGATGGACCAGCCTATACCCCATTTTCCCATGGAGGGGAAGGGAAAAAGCCAAGCAGACCTGACTGCAGTGACTTCCTGAGGGAAGATGCCATTCATGGACATGATTTGCAGCTGGTTGCAGTTGAGGTGGGACCACAGGACTTGAACCACAAGCAGCTCCAGTGAGAAAACTGGGTTCATCCTCTTGGATCCAGGGGCACTGCCGTGAGGACTATTTATGCAAGAGGCAAGGATTTCGTAGGGTGATCTCTTTTATTGGACCAACTCTGTAGTTGGGATACAGTTAAAGAAGACCTAAGGAAGAATGTCTTACCTTCGAAAGCTTGCTTAACTTTATCCCAATTACACAGTTGGTCCAATAAGAGAGATCCTTGCCTCTTGCATCGTTTCTGGACCATCATGGCTACAGCGTCACTCTTATACTGCTTGTGGACAGTTTCAGCGGGGCCAGAGGAAAGACATTTGAGTCTTCAGGAAAATGTCCGATAGAACAAGTGTTCCCCACAGCTGATCTCTCCCATCCACACATCACATCAAGCCCCGAGAGCCCCAACCTCACAATATTTCATCAGAGAGACTTTCATTAGGTCATTATCCTCCTTCCTATTGGCTGACCTGTTTCAGCCTCTTATCCCAGGGATCATGGTAATGCCCGTGGTAACGTTTCAGCTGCTCTTCATCAGCCTCCGTGACGGTGGTGACCGGCACGACCCCAGCAGGGAAGTTTAAGACGTTGTATAAGTTGGTGTAGGACGTGGCAGCTGGAAGAGACAATTGGCAGAACATTGCCTGGCAGCTCGACAGGGTTGTCTTGTAGAGGCCCACAACCAACCCAGCGCAAAGGGTAACAACTCCCGGACACATCCCTGCCAAAAAGACCCCACACCTCTACTCCTTTGCCACTGATCAGGGTGCCAACAAGACCGCCCGGTTGAGTAAACTGAACAGGGTTTGGCCCTTAGATGTTTCCACTCAAGTTTATGCTATTTTCCTTAAAGTCACCCCAAACACCATGGCAAGTTAGAGAATCCAGCACAGAGCAACAGAAATGATGAGGGGTCTGGGAGGTAAGACTTAGGGGCAAAGGTTGAAAGAGCCAGGGTCATTGAGTCTGGAGAAGAGAAGACTGAGGGGGGATTTGGATACCTTTAGATACCTAAGGGGTGATGATAGAGAGGATGGAGATGGGCTTTTCTTGGTGGCAGTAGAGGACAGGACAAGGAGGAGAAGAAGTTTAGGTTGGAGATTTCTGGCTAAGAGGGTGGTCAAGCGTTGGGGCAGGTTGACCACCCTGTTTCAACGCTTGACCACCCTCTTAGCCAGAAATCTGCAACCTAAACAAGCCTAGAGAGGTTGTGCAATCTCCATCCTTGGAAACGTTCAGACCAGGTTGAGCAGACACTTGGCTGAGATGGGTTAATCAGGGATGGTCCTGCTATGAACAGGAGGCTGGACTAGATGTGACCTTGTGAGGTCCCTTCCATCCCTCCTTTCCTTTGATGCTATGAACCGGAGACAGACAAGTGGGATCTGAGCAACGAGGTCTGCTTGATACACAACGGCTTGTGGGTCTTTGGTTTGCGCCAGATAAAGCCCTGTCCATCTTTAAAGGTCACCCTCCTGATTTATTTCTTTGTACTGCTTGGCTGACCCTGAACTGCCGAAGGTGGACCCAGCTGGGGGGCTTACCAAAGAGCTTCCCAGGATATCCCTCATTAAAGGCAGGGCCCAGAGCAGGACACAAAATGACATTGAGCTGCAGCTTCCTCCATTTAGCAATGAATTCCTTACAGTAAGCCTAGTGGGATGGAGACCAAATGTAAACCAACTGAGACCTGCAGGACACCACCATTAGCTTCAGTCCTGTGGCCAGGACATAGCCTAACTGGTTCCAGCTGAGCTGTGATAAGTCTCTGGACAAGTTTTGGAGAAACAGGGCTGGACAAGGGAGCAATTCTCCAGGCCATGGGGCCATTATGTAGCTCCCATGCCACCCTGCTGCAGCTTCATGCCAGCGGTTTCAAGTCAGGAGCAGCTGGGGCAATGGGGTGGGTATCTGCTTAATGGTGACTTCCCAGCTTTGCTCTCCCTGGGTCCATCCTGCTGCATATTCAGCCAGGCTTATACCCTCCAGACGTAGCGTTGCATGGATTTCCCCAACCTTCAAGCCCTCACGACTGCACCCTCCACAGTCACTGAAGAGAGCAAGGTTTGCTGCCCAAGGGGCTGTGAAGCCCTGCTTGGCAAGGAGAGGACTCCTTAAAGACAAACCCATGAAGATCAAGGATATGCCCAGTCCAACCCCACAGTCCTGTGCAATCTACACCTCCCCATGCATCAGACCTCCTGCAATGGCCTAGCTCCCAGGGGAAAACACATCTGTATAACATAATCCATGAGCCATTCCAGCTGTGTGACCCACCAGCAGTTACACATCAACTCTCTCCCCCCAAAAACTTCTTTAGAGTGAGGGAAAAAGACAAAAAGGAATTACCGCCAGGGCAACGTCCTGCTTCCACAGGTTTTTCACTGACCTGGAAAAGGCACAGACCTGAGATAAATAAACTCGGTGTGTTTAGAGCTCTTTCCTGGTCCAACACACTGTAGAGATCTTGACTCGTCTTCCCGCACCTCATCCTTGCAATGTGATGGGGCAAACATCATGTTTCCCCACATTTGGTTCATGGATGGGGAAAGCTAGGTGGAGAAGGGAAGAAACTGGCCTGCAGTCACAGAGCAAGGGCGTAGCGGAGGAGTTGGGTAGAAGTCAGCGTGGCCTCTGTGCTCATTCATCCAGGACTTTTTGGCTCTGAACATAACCTGACCAGGGCTGGATTAATGCACAGGTGAGTTAGGCACATGCCTAGGGCCCTGAGCTGTGGGGACCCTGATCCTTCCCTCCTTGGCGGTGGCACGAATGGGCCCATTGGCCCCTTCCCTTCCCTTCCCTTCCCTTCCCTTTGCCCCCACCAGCCTCGCCGCCATGGGGGCTGTTTCTTAGCAGTGTCTCTGAGCCCTGGGAGGGGGGTCTCGACCGGCCTGGGGCCCATGAGTTTGTTTGCCTATGGCCCACTAAAGGGTTAATCCATCCCTGTACCAGACCCAGCGTCCATTCAAGTCAATGGACAGACCTTGTTCACCTTAAGGGTTGGCTTCAAACTCTTAGACTCCCAAGACACAAGCATTATCGAGTTTGTTACTTGATGCCCGCGAACCACTTCTGCCTGACTCCAGTCTCTCCAGAGCGGTGATTCCCAGCCAGGGGGCTGCAGCACCCCAACGTGCCTTCAGACCCTTTCAAGGGTGCTGCATGGTGTTAACGCTGTTAGAGGTGCTAACACGATTCACAAGACAAACCCGGAGATTTCAAGTGGGAATCCCTGGTGTTACAACTGTTCTGCCCTGCGGTAGGCTTGCTGAGCTCTCTGCCATAGAGTAATAGCTCTAGGATTTTTCTGTAGTCAGAAAAGAAGTGAAAACCAGGAGCTGGCACTGTCTGAGAGGGGCCTCGAACCTAATGACAGGTGCCTTGGGTCTGAAAAGGTTGACTGCCACTGCTCTGCAACCCCAAGCGCTGCAATGAGGTGAAAGGGGCTAATCTCCTCTCTTGCAGTACGTGCAATCTTCACAATATTCTTCCATCTGAGCTGGAAGAGGACTGTCATTCTTAACACGGCCAAGAAACCCCCAAGGCATGTTTTTAACCTTTGCTTGAAACACAAAGGCTTTGCCATCCAGCAAAGCACCTAAGTGGGTGGAGAAATTCAAGTATTTAACAAATCCCACCAGCACCCCGGGGGGAAATAGGGGTTTATAGCTAACAAGATGGTGGAACACATTGCCACATTGGATGCATCCACATGAGTGGGACCATGCATTTCCCCAGGGACAAAGAGCAGTGGCACAATGTGTGCCAGTGCAACTTGTCCCCAGGAAACCCCATGCACATACGCTCTGGCGTGCAGCACGTTGTCCTCAGTGGGGTAGGGGAGGCTGGGGTCAGCACCTGAGCTGGTCCCAGCAGCCTTACCTGGGATCCTGGGGACCTCCAGGGGTTGCAGTTTTGGCAATCCCGGAGCAGGGAGCCTGGCCGGCAGCTGGAGTGTGGCTTTGGCTGGCCGGGCTCTGGTTTCGGACGGTGCATGCTGCCACCATGTGCACCACCCTGGTTTTTTTTAGGTGTTGGGATTTTTGACATCGGGATCTCTCAGTGTGAACCCCCCCCTGCAAATTTTCAGAGTGGAAAACACCTGCAGGTGTGGCATATGTGGCGTGTGGCACTGCAGATGGGTTTGCGGCACCGAATACCACACATGCATGCTCGTCTGGATGCGCCCATAAGATTTCATAGACATTAGACATTAGGGCTGGAAGGGACCTCGGAAGATCATCGAGTCCAGCCCCCAATGATCAGTACACCTGGAGGAAAAGGCCTCACGAATCAACCTGTAGGATCCCAGCCTAAGAAGACCACCCCTAGCCATAAGTCAAGAGCTGGGTCAGCTGCACAGCAGGCTGGATGCTGGCATGCACCAATGCAAAGTCTGCTCTTTGAGCTCTTCCTCAATGAGCCACTGTTAAATAAAGTCCTTACCTGGTACAGCTATAGACCACAGCTCAATATGTGCATGCGTTTTATCCTGTTATCAGCCATCAACCACCCATCCCAAGGTCGGTGAAGCTGACACTGTGTTTTAAGATGGGATCATAGGGAAGCTGGGCTGGAAGGGACCTCACACGGTCCTCTAGTCCAGCCCCCTGCTCAAGGCAGGATCAGCTCTGACTAAACCTTCCCATCAAGTCTCTGCCTAACCATCTCTTGAAAATTTCTAAGGCTGGAAATTCCTGGGTAGCTTGCTCCAAAGTTTAACCATCCTAATCTGCCTAAATTTCCTCTGCTGCAGTCGGAGAGAGGAGAGCTACAAACCTTACTATTCTTCATGCGAGCTCCCCATCCCCACATACCTATTTGAACATGATGTTTAAAAGAAAACCTGCTTACCCAGCTCCACAGAGCGCTTTCAGATCTCCAGCAATTCGAGGATACTGGAAGGAAAAAAAATGTTATATTAGCTCCATAGCGCAGCAGTCGGAGACGCACAGGAGTAACCCAGCTGGATCAGAGATGAAAGCCACTGATTCACGGTCACCGTGATTTTGCTGGTGGACTCTAGAGTGCTTTGTCTGAGGGACTGAGAGCAGATCTTCAGCTGGTTTGATTTTAGCAGAGCCATGTCAATGGACACCACCGACGATCTGGCTCAATGGGTGAAAATCTGGTAGTGAATTAGTTGGCAAAATTCACCCATTTTGCAGTCTCCTTGCCAAGTCCTTCGTGATTAACTCATCTCCCGTTCAGCCCAGGTAGGTTCATCACCATGGACTATCTTCTGAGAAAAAGACACGGGCAATAGAAATGATCAGAGGATCTCTTTGAGGAAAAGTTGGAAGAACTGGGATTGCTTAGTGGGGAGAAGAGGGCTGAGGGGAGATTTGATAGCCCTCAAATACAAACAGATATGCAAAGGATGGTGAGAGATTATTCTCGGCATCCACATGAAGCAGGACAAGAAGTGCTGGGGTGAAATTGTGACCAGGTTAGTTACTGGGAAGACTTTTTGGGTGTTTTGACACTGGAACAGCTTCCCCGAGAGCCTATCTAGGAGCTTATCTACATGGGGAATTATCCCAAATGAGCTATGTCTGATTAAATTAATTTGGAACAAGACTTTCTTATTCCAGAATAAGATCATCTGCACCAGGAGTTAATCCAGTTGAAGGATGCACTAACTTTACTCCATAATATCTTCCTTGTAGAAGCAAATGAGCCTGATGTAACTCACCACTGGTTTTAAGAGGAGAGCCAAAATCTTCTTCGCTAGAATCGGCAGTCTGTAACAATTAATCTGGGACTTCAAGGTGGGATCCACAATATCTCCTTCGCTGGAAGGCAACAGAGAAAACAAGATGCTGAGGCACTACTTACCTATTGCAACCAATGTCAATTTGATTGTATATGAATCCTGGTGAAATATGTTATCTCCAGCCCAGCCCTAAGCCAATATCTTTACATTGGAGTAAATCTCAGGATGGACAGATGGATGAAATGGGTGGACATAGCCTACTCAATGTCAATCTTAACTCCTCCCAACAAAGAACTGACTTCCTGTCCAAAACATGCCTATTGGATCTTCCATTTGCATGAGTAAAATAAGTGGCAACTTATTTCTCTTGAGATTTCCATAGGCATTTTGGAGCTGAAAAGCTGCGTTGCTTAGAGCTCTCTTGATAACAGATTGCAGAGTCTACTTACAACTTCTCCAGCAAAGTGGAGACTCCATCAGAAAAGATGCCTTTGGTGAACAGCTCATCCACCACAAAATTGATCCGAGGGGGAGCAAAAGGGACCAGCTGTGTGACAAAACCAACACGGTTCAACAGGTAGCAAAGATGTGGGTGAAACCCCAGCCCCGCCAAAGCCAATGACAAAATTCCTGTTGAGTTTGCTCAGGCTGGGAATTCAGCTTGGGTGACTTTGTTCCACATCCACCTTTTAATCATGGCAATGAAAGGATGTGAAGCTCACATGAGGTAACCCTTCGCATTGTGCCAGTGACATGGACTCATCGATGTTCTGGTCCATGTCCTGCTGAGCTCCAAAATCTCAGTGGCCTCACACTGCTCTGAACATGGGATGGAAACCAAGGAATGATGCTCTTTTGTCTGCTAGAGGAGCCACAGGGAGTTGGTACTATCCACAGATCCTAATAAGACCTTCCAAGTCAGGCCGCATACCGTATGCCCTGCTTGTTCGAGAAGCACTTTGGTTTCCTGGACAGCACGTCTCATGCTAGGAGAGGGCTGGAAATAGCCATCGCCATCGTAATACCCGATCCGAAGGGGTCTGGAGCTGGAGTACACCTGAAAGAAGAGACACCTTCACTTAGTACCTTGACCATTGTAGGTGCATTGAGTTAAAAGACTCTTCCAAGAAGCCCAAGCATGTAGAAAGATGCAGTGACAGGGGTGTTCATCATACTATAGTCTCACCGGGGAAGCTCAACAAGGATTCAATGTGTAACAGAGGCTCATTCAAAGGTACTGTGGGAAAGAAATGCAAAGGGGATAGGTGGGACGCTGAAACAGTACTCCCGTGTTACACCATTGTAAGGATCTGAAGACACTCTGGGTAAGAATCATTTGGCTAGTCCCTATCTCTGTCACCTAGTGGATTCATAGATTCATAGATGTTAGGGCCGGAAGGGACCTCAATAGATCATCGAGTCCAACCCCCTGCATAGGCAGGAAAGA